AATCTTATAATTCCAGTACATTTTTATCACATACTCTGGTTAGCCAACGCTAACTCTTTCCATCTTAACTGCAAACCCTTATCATAAACATACTCTTGTTTATGCTCAATACTATCACTTCGTTTCAAACTCATAAGCTCTGACTTTATACATCTTATACACTTGTCACTGATGCACTTATCCTTGAGTTCTTCTATAAGTACTCACCACGTCATTAGATCTTTTTAACATTCTTATGGTGACACTTGTTCACCATATTCTATCTTATCCACATGCTAACAAAACTAATCCATATCGCTTTTCCGATCCAAAATAATAAAGATCTTCTTTCACTATTGTAATATGATTTCAACTTTATGAAATCAACCTTTAATCTTATAAGACCCTTTCTGAGGTTTCTGCTCTTCATCCTACCTGGCCAGGGCAAGTGAATTGCTATCACCATCAGATTTTTCAGCTATCGATTCACTTCGACAATTTCTATAATCAATTTCTACTATATTATACAAATCTTGTTCTATTGGCAAGACAACATACTCCTTACCCTATCAGATCAGAAATTTTCACTCTGTGTTGGCATGTACACATTTTATGACACTTTGGACTTTAGTTTATACCGAGAATCGTCTAAACCGTAGCTCTGATACCATTAAATGTAACACCCCAACCCGTATCCGACCCGGATCCGAGTCCAAAGTGCCACATGGACTTTTCAAAAACCTTTACTTGTATAAAATAGTGAGTAATTTAAAATTTATTATTACATATAACTTAATCAAAACCTTTATCGAACTATTCAGAGCTTATACAATATATTATCTTGAATACATGCCAACTAGAACTTTATGTATTCAAATACATATTATTTATCTTTCTTCTGATCTGACTTTTGGTAAGAAGAACTGATCTGTCTTGCTCCACGTTGCTCTTTACTCTTCTCACTTCTGTAACCTACGTGTGAAACAATTACACGCTAAGTTGTTGACTTAGCGAGGCATAAAACATATAAAAAACTCTAACTAATCACACATGCATGAACATACAATCTTATAATACCATATCAAAACGATATAACATTATATATATATATATATATATATATATATAACATATACATATCAGACATTATTTTAAATCTCTACCCTTTGTTCACTATCAATATTCTTAACATTTATATCTTATAATTATATCCTCTTATATCCATTCTTTTACTCAACATATCATTCAATTAACCAAGCCATACTGACATCATCATATAAATCATATCTGATTATCTAATAAGCAATACATGCATACATATAAATCATCATTAGTCACTATCATTTAATCACATAACATATATACTTAATCTATACATCCTCATGTCCTCGCTATTAAATTTATCATCTCACAACACATATTTTTTTATTTTCTCTTGATTAGCCCATGTACATACGTGAGAACTAATGATAGGTGAGTCTAATGAGGTTGTGCACCACTATGCTGTCACCACAGCTCATATAAATGTCCCGAAGGACCTATCCAGAGGTCAAAAAGACCCCGGTAACTATCCAGAGGTCATAAAGATCCTCAGTAACTGTCTAGAGGTCATAAATATCCTCGGTAACTGTCCATAAGGACCACATATCATTCCTTAAGAATCATATACATATGCCAAATATCAAGTATGTGTCTCCAAAAGACCTCACACATGTTCCAAGAATACATATATGTCTCAAAAGACCACATAGACCCTCGACTCTTGGCATGCCAACTATACCTCTAGCTCTCAAGACACATAACATGGGAATTAATTTTCATAACAGTTCAATTTACTTATTCATATCATTTCTCTTATGAACATATATCTTTTCTTTTTAGTCACGTACCAAATGTACGTGTAATCATTGATCTTATAATCACATGTTCATTCTCTTCGGTCACATACCATATGTATGTGTAAACATATATCTAATATCATATAACACGCATCACAAATGCATGTATTCATATAAATCATTTCTTATAGCTTTATTCATATCACATATTCATATAAGCTCATATCTTATTTCACATATACTTTCCATATAACTTATATATCTCATAATCACACAAGTCATAACATTGATCACCAAAAAAATAACATTTTAGGAGTTACTTCTTACCATAGTAACTCCATCACTGGCTTATCGCAAGCCAAATGTTTATTCAATAATATAAGTACAAATAAAATTGCACTTAACATCTAGACATAGACATATACTAATGTACACATAAACATCATAACAAATACATACTTCTATGAATTCATGTTTTTCACTATTGGAAATAGACTTATCACAAGTCTTATTTTCCCTTGAACCTCATATACTAGAGAATGTGCACTCACCTTAGCTTTGCTTTGATTTGATTATAATCCTTCAATTGATTCGGAACGGGATCACGTTCTATATCTACATCATCATACATAGATCTATATTAGTATTATAACTAATATACTCTAATGGTTCACTCTTTAGACTAAGATAAAAGGCAATTTCATCTTTTAATGAGGGTATGCATCAATGCACTACTGATGCATCGGTGCATAAAATGTATTCGATGTTGTATTATTACTGGGATGCATCGATGCATGCCTTATGCATCGATGCACTAATTGCATTCGATGTTTCCTTATTAATGGGATGCATCGATGCACTACTTATGCATCGATGCACGAATTGCATTCGATGTATTTATTTTAAAAGAGTGCATCGATGCACTACCAATGCATCGATACACCTTCAAACAATTTCTGGGTTTTAACATCGATGCATCGGTGCACAATGAATGTGCATCGATGCACATTGCCCATAACTGACATTTTTGCACGAAAATCATCAACTCTTCCCTAAATTCTTCTATTTTAAGCCCCTCTTATGACATTAAACTCAACTACTATTACTTGAACCAACTTATATCCATGTAAATCATCTTTAACCTCAAAATCCTATCTTCCTTATGAGATTCAAGAATCATACCAAATTTTCTATATGTTCTAAATCCAATTCTATCACTCCAAATCTTTTAATTTAACCATTGACAAGTCAAATTTAACTTCCAATTTAAGAAACGAACTTTATTCCAAGATTTCATTTGTAAACTCTAAATCTTTAATCTCTCCTAACTCCATCATCCTTTGCTTTTAAGATGATTTAAGCTTTCCTTAAGCTTAGTTATCATCTAATAATCAAAACCCAACCTTAAAATCAACAATTCAATTATAAACAAAGAAACTTACCTTTGGCTCTTGGCTTCCACTTGAAGAAGAAGAAGAAAGGAGAAGAGAACTCTGGAGAATTCTCTCCCTTTCCACGTGCATTTATCCTTACCAATCCCATTTTTAATTCATTTCTTGGTCAATTGACCCTTTTGCCCTTTATTTCCTTTAATAATTACTAAATAACCTTCATCATATATATCCAATAATCATTGAACTATTTCATTCTTATACTTTAGTCACCAAATTCTGAAACTTTATAATTTGGTCACTAACCCGGTATTGCGAATGTTACAGAGCTAGTTAGCTCAACGTTTGGAATTTGTTTCCTTACGTAAATTAGGTAGAGCTTACGAGGAGACCTAGTGAGGCATAGGTCCAGAGCAGATCAAAATGGCTGTCCCTTGTTCCCATATGTAATGGGGTAAGGGGGAGGTAAGATAGTAGGCTGCCCCCAACACTAGGTTGAGAGCAGCTTCCGTAGGAGACCTCCAAATTATGAAATACCCTCCATGGGACTCGATCCCACGACCTCATCAGAGTAAATCTCAAGTTTTTGAAAAGGCATGTATATTTTTAAACGCTGATGTAAAGTTGAGTTGTACAGTCAATCAAATAATTGGCCTGTATATTTTTTTAATGTAAATATTTTATTTTAAGAGCTCTCAGATATAAAGTATTTTATTATGTTAAAGTTATGGTTGATTTTTATTTTAAAATGGTCTTTTTAAAGTTTAAGAAATAAAGAAAAGTTGGCCAACCACTTTGGTGGTTTCGTGTAGCGCCCTAATTGGTCGACTATGTGTCGTACTGATATAGGATGTTACACAATTTTTCCAATATTTTTTCTTACATTTGTTATTAATGGCCCAATTTTTTTAATACTTATTATTAGAGATCTATTTTTTAATATTATTATTAGGGGTATACTTTTAAAATTTAATTTTTTTCAAATATTTATTTGTTGTTATGAATTCAAATTTTTTAGTACTTTTGATTAGAGGTTGAATTTTTAAATACTTATTATTATGAGCATACTCTTAAAATTTACTTCTTTTAATATTTATTATTAGGGACTTATTTTTTAAATACTTATTATTATTAAGCTATCTTTAAAAATTATTTTTTCAACACTTATTATTATGAACCATTACTTAAATAACGATATGTAACCACAACAATAAATGCTATCAACATCATCAAAAACTACGATATCAACAATCGTTATGTTCACAATAATATATATGTTATTAAAAATCCACAACCAAATACTTGCAGTGACCACAATATTATATGTTATGTTCATAAAAACGATAAACACAATATGATTTAAGACACCAATACAAATTATAATTTAAACATCTTTGTATAGGCCTAATTTTTTAATTCGCCCAAAGCCACTAAAATGTCAAATACAGGCCTGGACTTGTTATGTCATCACGCCATTAATTATTTAACAACAGTGTGAACAAAATAGGAGCAAATTGAAAGTTGAGTGAGTAAAGTAAAATAAGTTTAAATTTTATTGATCAAAATAGGAGTAAAAAAAATAATTAAATGACTAAGAATGTAATTTACGCTTAAATCAAGCTAAATCATGTTGGAGGGAATCTCAATTCAGATGGGGTCAGCTCTCATACTGAACCAACATGCCCGTCCTGGTTTTACATTCATCTTGTAATCGCACTATCAGATTCTCAAGTCCCCGTAATTCTTCACTATCCTCGTGCCTATTTCCGTCCATTTAACCTAACTCCTCGTTCTCTGCATAGATTTGTCCTTATTCTCTTTCCCATTCCATAAAGATGACTGTCAATCATTTACTTTCCAACCAAAACCCTAACTCGCTCCTCTTTTAATTGCTGACACTGACTCACTGAGTTCAGAATTCCATCTCCTCCATCAACCATGAGCCGATTCAGGATCACTGACATCTTCGACCCTTGCTCCCCATCTCTCTTTGTTAAAGAAACATCCTTTTTCGCTCCCAAGCCCTTAGTTTTTCCCTCATTTTTCGAAGAAGAACATGAACTTGGCTCCGCACTCGACCTACTCAGCCCTTTCCCTTCCTTCAGCCCCTTCGAAATCTACGACAGCGTCACCGATCTGGTCCAGATCGAGCAAACGCCGTCATTTCGATCGTACAAGAGGATACAACGCAGAGTCGAGCCTGAGTTTTCTTTTCAAACCTTGTGCGACCGAGTTAGCGCGCTGGACTCCAAGTTTGACCGTCTCGTTAAGGTGAAGATCGGCGGAGGAGACAGGAAGTACTCGTGGTCTTCGGAGATCAAGGGGCCGGTTGAGAGAAAGTACAAATGGGTAGCGGAGATTGAGGATGGGAAGAAAACTGAAGAGATGAAAGAGAAGAAGTATAAATGGACGGCTGAGTTTGAAGGAAAGGGAATTGATGGGCCGATCTCCAGGAAGTACGCGTTCACAGCATCCACTGGTTGCGATGCAAGTGAATCGAGCAAACAGGAGAAGAAGGAAAAATGCGAGAAGAAGCATCTGATAAAGGACAAGAAAAGAGAGAATGTCCCGCGTTTAGTGGAGATCGAAGAGCCGTCTGATCACGGCGCTGTCGTTTTAAGACAGGTTTGATGTATTTACATTTTGCGTCCTTGGATTAGATGAATTCAGTTCAGTTCAGTTCATTTCGTTCGATGAATTTGCTTTCTCTCTGGTGTTTAAATTCCTTTTCAGCAGATTTTGAAAACGACTTTTTTATTCATTATTAGCTTATTGACTAATCGCTGCCACCTTTGGTGATACACCAATAGAATCGAACTTATTTTTTTTTAAGGAAATATATTGATCTCTGTACAATGACATGTTTTGAACCTGGTCAAATCACTTTCGAAAACCTTTTGTTTTCTCAACTATGGAAAATTATTTGCTATTGTAAGTTGTATGTGGAGTTTTATACATGAATGTGAAGTATAGGACTTTCAAGCTCTAATAAACCCATTTGTTCTGGCATTAATCAAGGTCTGAAAAATTATTCACTAATGATTTGCAGTGTGCTCATTGTAAACTTTAAATGTATATAGTTTCGAATATGCTGTGAGGTGTTTCATTCGTACTCAGTCTTGAACTTTTCTGTTTTGATGTTAGGCTTTTGCCAAAAGAGCTGGTGTTATAAGAAATAACAGGGGCAAGAAGAAGGAATTGTCTCCACAAGATGCTGCTTCGGTTATTCAAGTAACATTCAGAGCTTACCTGATTCGCAGATCACAGGCTCTTCGCGCACTTCGGGAATTAGCAGTTGCCAAGAATAAGCTGAAAGAGATCAGAGCATATTTTAATAACTTCTCCTACCGTCGTCGAGTAGCCCAAGATGCGGAAGAACGCCAAAGGTTCTCTGAGAAGATCATTGTGCCGCTCCTTACTGTTGATGCCATTGAGGTACATTATCTCTCATTTTTGGACTTTTCCATTTTAATCTATGAAATACTTTGTCAAACTTAACATATGTGATGGTCGACCACTGAATGTGTCCAATGAGGGCATATTTAAAGTATATATAATTTCTGTAAAAAAAAGAAGAGTACATATAACTTTGCGTATACGCAGCTAATGGCTACCTATAATCTGATACAATATTTTTGGATCATGTAACTGGCTTGTGTTGTATCATGCAGGGACCTGATCTAATGGTGCGTGCTGCTAAGAAGTCAATGGTAGATGAACTGGAAGCCATGCTTGATGTGGTGGATCCTCATCCCAAGGGGAGATCACTTTCGATGAGGAGGACATTTGACATGCCAGATATTGTCATCCAGAGGGAAATTGCTGAGGGCGTGGCAGAGGTGGTTCAAATGTTTGAAAGTGAAGAGAATGCTACCACTGATTGAGACATGCTTGTAAAAAAGTTGTAATATGGAGAATCACCCATCTCTATGGATGCTTTGCCGCTTAGATGTGTGGAAGATGCAGTTTAATTTATGATGTGCGGACTTGCAATTTCTGTTTTACCTCTCGTCTATTCTGTAGCACTTGTGTCTGTTCTGTTTGAACTTATTCAGACTTATTTGTTCCGTGTTATGAAGATGATGGTACTCGTTTTAAGCTAGAGCTTAGTTCCCGTTTTCTCTTTATTGGTGACGCACCAGCTCTTGTTATGGGGTATTTGGTCTACATAATTTGAGGGCCTAAATTTAAGATAACTTGGATGGAAGCTTACAGTTGTGCAGGTACTCTTTTAAAGAAGTTTTGAGCCACAGAAAAGACTTGAAGACTACTGAATGTGATGCCTTCGCCTGACTGATTACTGGTAAATAAGAGGAAGTAGCATATGGATGTGCTATTCATCTCGGTTTTGGTTACAAGTTAAAATATGACAGGTCCTAGCTGACTGGACCAGAAAGTTTGAAAAAGAAACACAATTACACAAAAAAAGTGAAGTTTTGAAAGCAATTTTTAGGATCACTGCTCTTACATTGGAAAGGTTCCTGGAAGCAAAAGTAGCCCAGACCTCATGGCCCAATGTCTAAGTTGATTTGGTTAAATGTGGTGAAAAACTGAATACTAGGGGTGAGCAACGAAACCGAAAAAATCGAAAAACCGACACGAACTGAGTAAATAATTTTTGTAAAAAAAATTATAGTTTCAAGTGATTTTTTTATTGAAAAACCGATAAACCGAATCGAACCAAAAAATCCGAACCGTTAAAAAAACCGAACCGAACTGAAAAAATCGATCGGTTTTTTCGGTTTTTTAACTATTCGGTTTCGATTTCGGTTTAAATATTGAAAAACCGTTTATTTCGGTTCAGTTCAATTTTTGATAAAAAACCAAACCTAACCAAACCGAATCGAATACACCCCTACTTAATACTACAGGTCAAATATTGTCATCTCCTGTCGACGAAATGTGGAAGTCTTCATATAATGAGAGTCTCATTTGAGGTTATCTTTTTTATTTTTTAAAAAATGGGTCAATCTCGTCGTCTGATTCCGACGACGCTGGTAAGTCCTGCAGCATACGGGAAGCTTGCGGACCAATTCACCAACGTTTAATCTCTCTTATTGAACTAACATAAATCTGAATAAGAATTGGAGAACTTCTTAACCAAGGTAAGTCGATGTCTGAAACTGGGTTATAGTTGGGAACATACGCACTTTTAATGTTAGGGGACGAATTTATAATATTTCAAGAAAAAAAAAGAAAAGATTATCAATAAAAAATACAAAAAATATTTAACTTATATAAGAATTTAAAATTTTCACGAGAACAACGGCTCCACCAACCTCACTTGATCCATCCCTACTTGTACAGTATGCATAGGAGTTTCTTCATGAATAGTTTGAAGAATGGTCCATGCTTCACGTGCAAAGGTGCATTAGGAAATCCTCTGAAACTGCTTAGGCACAGCTTCATTGAAAATTACATTTAAAGCTCTGTAGTTTCGCAAAGCAGTTTTAGTTTCTTTCTTAGTCTAGTGAGTTGTTTATAGTCCCATTAGAACCGGTGTAGTAGGTGGTTCCTATCCAACAATAATATCCTTCCAAGCATCATCTTCAATTGAGTAGTGATTGTACAATCGAGTCACGTTCCTCCATGAAATTCATGTCAAATTAGAAAAAAGGAATCATCACACTGAAAATAGCAGTGTCATTCGTGCCGGATTGAAAAATAATTTTGAGGCTTTTATATATATAACACAAAATTTTTGTATGATGTGGACATTAATAAAATTTTAGAGTGAACACAATTAACAAAATAGATAATTAACAGAAAAAATTTAAATTTTAAGATGAACACGTGTTAGACTCGGATATCAATTATTAGGACAGTTTATTTGGCATCGATGTTGGGACAACATTTTGCAATGACGAGAACAAAAACAAAAGAGATGCCAAATGGAATCATTATGCAATATAAACTTGATTTATATTTGTCCAAGAAGAATTTCACTATAAATGTATGAAAAGTAATGATTTACGTTCAATCATTAGTGCAATATAATCAATAACTTGAATTGACTTCAATTTATATACTCAATATTTTTTTAAAGAAAGTATATTAACTGCAAAGACTTGTGAAAACAAAATGAGGCGTTCATAATGAAGATCGGGATGCAACTTGTTGGTGTGGGGAATAAGCTGTGGATTTGATTCTTGAAAGCTAAATATCGATGGAATGTTGATATTCCAATGAGTATTGGTCGACATAAATGTTCTCGGCTTTGGAAGGGGCTAAGCTGCTTTTGGGAAGAGATTAGGAATAATATATTCTGGAATATCCGAAATGGGCGTCGAACTAATTTCTGGAGAGACGTCTGGGTGGATGAGACCGGACCCCTAGCAGACCATTGCTTGTAGAACGTTGAGCAACAACATGTGTCTGTGGCTGATATGACGACACTAGCCGGTGAATGGGATTGGGGGAGGCTGAAAAGTTGTGTTCCTTTGCATATTTGCTATCGTATAGCTGCAATTTGCCCTCCATGGCCGAATCTTGGAAACGATATTCCTGCTTGGAAAGATGATCCAAATCACAATTTTTGGGTACGATCGGCTTATCGTGTGTTGACACTGAGAGTAGCTGATGAGAATGGCGACTGCTGGAGGATGTTATGGAAGTTGAATGTTCAGCAGAGAATTAGAACATTCCTATGGTTACCCCTTCATGAAAAGTTGCTGACGAATAAGGAACGATATCGGAGACACATTGTTGGTACGGCTCGTTGTTCACTGTGTAATGTTGAGGATGAAGATTTACTACATGTTTTTCGTCGATGCTCTTTTACTATTGGCATATGGCCAGCGTGATTTCGCTGTTGATGATAGAAACTGGGATATTATTTTTTGCTATTATTTGCTGGAAATCTGGAAACATAGGTGTAATCATCTCTTCCAGCCGAATTATATTGACCATGGTGATTTGTTGGTTCACAGCGTTCGTTTGAAAAATGAATTGATGGCTAGAGAGGCTCCCGATTCTGATCACAGTAGCACTGTTCGGGGTGATAATCGGTGGTGCAAGCCGACTAGGGTTTGACTAAAGGTGAATGCTGGTGGAGTGTTAGGGTATGTCGAGGATGGCCACTGCAGGGGGAATGTTACGGATGATCAAGGTAGGTGGATATTCGGTTTTGCCCCTAGTTTGGGCATTTGCTGGATTTTAAATTTTTCTAACTTATCTTAATTTTTGGATAAATGTAATCTTATTCAGATAATTCAAAATGGATTCTCCTCAACTCATTTTACCAATTATAGAATGACGGATATAGAATATTTTTTAAAGATATATATATTAATAACATAAAAAATTTTATGTTATAAATACAATTTTGAGTTTGCACAACCAATAAAATAGATAAATAACAAAAAAAAAAATAATAGATTTCAAGATAAAATATATCCATTCTAAACTAAGAGTAAACCCCCACTGTTACAAGTGAATAACTAAACACTAAAATGTGTAACAAAAATTCCCGAGCAAAATAATCTCTTAATTAATAAAAATGAGGGTAAACTACATAATTGACCACCCAACTATGGGCTTGGTATCAAAATGACCACTATTTTTAAATTTATGTCAATATGACCACTGAACTATTTAAATAATTTCTATATAAACATTTGCCGTTAATATTTAACGGAGGTGTTTATGTGACATTTAACAAAATTGGTATAATTAGTGTAACACCCCAACCCGTACCCGACCCGAATACGAGTTCGAGGTGTCACATTGACCATTCAAAGCATATACTTTTATAAAAAAAATCATAGAAAATTTTAAACTTCTATTCTATAAACACTATAGCAAAACTAGCTTTTTGCGGCGTTTTTTTATACCTATAGCGGCGTTTTTAAGCGCTGCAAAAATACCTGCGGCGTTATTACAAACGCCACAAAAAGCACCGCTAAAGTTTGCGGCATTTTTTAACGAAAAATGCCGCAATAGGTAACGATATATAGCGGCGTTTGACAAACGCCACAATAGGTTCTGATATTTAGCGGCATTTGTTTTAAAACGCTACAATATATTTTGAGATTTTACATCGTTTTTAGGATACAAACGTCGCTAAAACTCTGGTATATAGCGGCGTTTTCAGTATATAAACGCCGCTAAATGTCTGGTATACATCGGCGTTTTTAGAATACAAACGCCGCTAAATATGGTATATAGAGGCGTTTTTAGAATACAAACGCCGCTAAATATATGATATATAACGTCGTTTTTAGGATACAAACGCCGCTAAATGTTTGGTATATAGCGACGTTGGTATTCTAAAAATGCCGCTAAAGGTTAATATATAGCGACGTTTGTTAAAAAAACTCTTTAATTGGTGTTAATAATTTGCAGCGTTTTTTGATACAAACGCCGCTAAATGTGTGATATATTGCGGCGTTTTTTTTTAAAAACGCCACTAAATAACACATAATTTAACAAGTTAAAAAATATTGTCGACTACCCCAAATCTGTTTTTTCAACCTGTTCCATTATCCAACAAACATGGCAACAATAACATCAAACTCTATATCCATAATAATCAACATCAAATCCAATATAATAAATAAAAGTTTTCATTAATGTAATATATGTTCAGTTAAACACGGTTCAATAACATTAACAAAATGCTGATAACATAAATGAGACTATGATGGTGCATTTTGAGGTTGATTTTTCTGTATCATATGCATCATATCATTGAGTCGTTTTTTAAATTCTTCACATCTCTGCTGATATGTTGCTTCTCTCTGAGCTGCCGCTGCTTCCCTTGCTTCATTTTCCGCTTTCAAGTTAGCCATTTGTTGATCCATCTCAGCCAACTTTTGTTTTAAACGACTAACTTCTAATTAGGAAGATTGAGACTGCAATGACGTGTACTGTGATGAACTGGATCCAAAATATTTGGTGGGAGTAACAAATGATCCTTGACAACGCACCCGACCATATCTTTCTTGACCTAAAACGTCATTAATAGCTCGATTTTCAATGTCATCATCATTAAGAAGACCTTGACTCGAACCAGTCGTATAATATTCCGCCCTTTTCTCCCTCAATTTATCCTAGTTATAAGGTGAATAATTAATTAAAATAAAAAATGTCATGGTACAAATTTAAATAAAGTCATGTAAATT